AAGCAAGTACAATTCATCTTCTTCTCTCTATTTTATTATCTCATCATCAATTTTTTTATAGAATTATCCGGCCCATTAGCTTTAATTAGTCCAAGTTCCACGAAACGTGTTTTGAAATTGGGTACCCGGAATCAAAGTTTGCTCTAATATCTGAAAGTTTGGATGAAATAGAGCTAGCGTCGATGCGAGAAGGTAGTTCCATGAGTAATAGCTAGGATTTTATTTTATTTTCAAAATAATGGTAGACCAAAAGCAAAGTTTCTTCATTGAATTTTGTGACTACGAATTAATGAGTTCTAGATTGGAGATTCTTCTTAGTCAATTTGATAATATCTTGGATGGAATTCTCTTTGGATTTCACCCTAGGATCTTCTTTTAGTATTTCAACCATGAAATAGATCGACGTGATTTTAGTTTACCTACGAGGATGGATTTTTCTGGTACGATGAAAGGCAAGTGAAAAGTATGTGGACATAAATGCAATTCTTGATCCTTATTTATCTAATGACATATTAACCATTTTTTAGTTTATAGTGAATATTATATGCAACACACGAGATATACAAACGTACTATGAGAGTATAAATCCTATATAATTCATTGATTTTTAATTTTTTTTTTGAATTATATTAGACTAATATCACCTTTTACAATAATGTTCTTTTACATGAATAAATATTGCGTCAGTACTAGTCTTTAAGAGCATCTCCAACAGATTCTCCATCTCATTCCCTAAAATAGGGACGAAGGAGAAAAAATGGGGAAGTTTTCCCAAATCTGCAGTATTCTTAAATTTTTTAGAGGAAAAAAGGGATTCTTCACAATGGAGAAGCTGTTAGAGTTGGTGTAAAAATAATTTGAAGAATATGACTTTTATTTTTTTATTTTGAAGAAAATTTTAGAGAAGCGGTTAGAGATGCCCTACTAGAATCAATAGCCCTGTCACCACGTTCAGCATTGAGCAGTAGAATGGACATGACGATGGAAAGAAAAATTCTTTAAGGACCCAAAATATGGGACCAATAGGGGGGACAAGTGAGGTGTCCCCCTCCTATTGGATAATGAGTTGACCATCATTAATGATGGCCAACTCATTATCCAATAGGAGGGGAACACCTCACTTGTCCCCCCTATTGGTCCCATATTTTGGGTCCCTGCTCCGATGGAAATTGCACTTCCTTATAAAGGCATTAATAAATAGATTTCTGTACTTTCAGCAAATTTTAACACGTGGACCCCACTACGCCGTATTGACCCTGGATCAGAAAGTGGGTGCACGAACTATTTATTCCATCTTCCCCCGTTACCTCAAAAGTCACGACGGTCCTCAGCCTCGAACGCACTTCATTTTTATCCCCTCAGTTAGGTTTTGTGGGATTTTATCACCTCAAAAAATAAACAGAAATAGAAGAAAATTATGAATTTGGAAATTCCCAACTCAGAACCGAAGCTTGAAATCACTTGAAGCGTCGTTTCCTACAGCCGGTAAGTTGGGATTCTTTTAATTTAATTAATATATATTTTTTGGTTTATTTTTGGTGATAGCGAGAGGGGAAGAGAGAGAGAGTGATAGATCTTATTTATAATATAATTTAATTGGTTGTTTTTAGTGAGAAATTACAGTCTTTTTTAACTTTGATTCAGTATTCATTTTGTTTGATTATTTCTTGTTAGGATCCTACTAGTACTTATGATTCTTATATTAATTACAATGGAATTTTGGTACATGCCCATGTGCCATTCATTGTTCTTCTCTTTTTGGATGGTTTTTTTATGCTAAAGATGCCTATTGACATTTCCAAAATTTGTTATCATGGCATAGATGCATTAATTGATGTTTCATTCTATTTCTGATACCAGAGTGCAGATAGTTAATCGATTGTTATTGTTATTATTTATTTTTTTTTGAAAACCCGGTTGAAGACCTAAACGATGATTTAGAGAATCAAGTACTTGGTTAATTAATCAATTTTTTGAAAACCCAGCTGAAGACCAAAACAGTGTGGCCCAAGTACTTGAATCTCAAATAATGACTTAAATTGACTGTGATCCTACATTGCCTAATTTGATACTGTTATGGTTTTTCCTCACTTATTATTTTCTTAGTTGTAGTGTATTGGCAAAATTGATTAGATATCCTTTTTTCTTATGCACCAATTACTGATGAAATGTTGTAGAAGCTGATATCAACAATACTATCAAATGCATGTAGAAACTTGGAACAACCACAGGCACTGAAGCAGCTACTGCTTCAATGGGTGATTATGGTGGCCCCGAGTACCAAAACCTTGAAGAAGGACTTCCAAGAATTGAAAACCTCCGAAAAGTTTCCATCATCCCCCTCATATTCCTAATCTTTTACGAGGTCTCTGGAGGCCCTTTCGGTATTGAGGACAGCGTCCAAGCTGCGGGCCCTCTCTTAGCCATTGTTGGCTTCTTCGTCTTTCCATTCATTTGGAGCATCCCTGAAGCCCTAATCACCGCAGAATTAGGTACAATGTTCCCCGAAAATGGAGGGTATGTAGTGTGGGTTTCTTCGGCTTTGGGCCCTTTCTGGGGTTTTCAACAAGGTTGGATGAAATGGCTAAGTGGTGTTATTGACAATGCACTTTACCCGGTTCTATTTTTAGACTATCTCAAGTCTGGGATCCCAGCTCTAGGTGGAGGATTGCCTAGAACTTTTGCAGTGTTGATCTTGACAGTTGCATTAACGTACATGAACTATAGAGGATTGACCATAGTTGGATGGGTTGCGGTTTGCCTTGGAGTCTTCTCACTCCTTCCTTTTATCGTTATGGGGCTTGTTGCTATACCAAAATTGAAGCCTAAAAGATGGTTAGTTGTGGATTTACGTATTGTGGACTGGAATTTATATTTGAACACTCTCTTTTGGAACTTAAACTATTGGGATTCAATTAGTACTTTGGCCGGAGAAGTTGACAATCCTAAGAAAACTCTTCCAAAGGCTCTCTTGTATGCTGTAGTATTAGTTGTTATTAGTTATCTGTATCCTATCCTAGCTGGAACTGGGGCAGTTCCACTAAATAGAGATCTTTGGACAGATGGGTATTTTTCTGACATTGCGAAAATTGTTGGTGGAGCTTGGTTGAGTTGGTGGATTCAGGGGGCTTCTGCTTTATCAAACATGGGAATGTTTGTTACCGAAATGAGCAGCGATTCCTATCAGCTTCTTGGTATGGCGGAGAGAGGAATGCTTCCGGAACTTTTCAGCAAGAGGTCTCGACATGGAACTCCTCTTGTAGGTATTTTGTTCTCGGCTTCTGGAGTGCTTTTATTGTCTTGGATGAGCTTTCAAGAGATTGTTGCTGCGGAGAATTTCCTCTATTGTTTCGGGATGATCTTGGAATTCATTGCTTTCATAAAATTGAGGATGAAGTACCCAAATGTGCCTCGGCCTTACAAAATACCTTTGGGGACGGTTGGTTGTGTTTTGATGCTACTTCCTCCCACTGCATTGATTTGTGTAGTACTAGTTCTTTCTTCATACAAAGTTATGTTTGTGAGTCTCGGAGCGATGGTCATTGGACTTGTATTATATCCGGGTTTAAGATTTGTAGAGAAGAAGAGATGGTTAAGGTTTTATGTTAGTGCTGATCTTCCGGAGTTTGGAGCTCCTGAAAGTGAAAATAATGCCGAGACTCTGGTACACTAGCTTCCCTCAAAAGTTTACATCCAAGTTTTATGTAGCCAACTTAATCATGTTAAGTTTGTTCTTCTCTAAGTGTTACTTTTTGATGGCACATAATTTAACAGCTTGTTGGCTTGTAAAATTTCATACATGCATCCTGAGGCCTAATTTTTCTTAATTGTTGCATAAAATTTCCCTTAAAATCTGTGTTATTATTCAGGTCCGGAATTTCCAATCACCTATAGTTAGTTAATAGATAGATTTGCTGAAGGTAAACATGCTAACTTTATTCATTTTAAGAATATAGATGAATACGCCTCATAAGTATGTGTTGAAGTTAGCCATTTGTTTAATAGACGATGCTATTCTTTTTTCCATTCAAAACTCATCCTCTATATACATTCTAACTATGTCCTGAATATTTAGCATGAATCATTGAAGATGCTAAAGTCTTTAATTTACCCTCCACGTCCTATTGTTCCTGTAAGGCATATAACATGTATCATGCTTCTTCTATTCTCTAATCGACTATAATGTTTCTTGTAAAACATCCACTTCGTGCAGAAAAGCCACAGGAAAGAAGAGGATTGAGTAATGAAAATTGGATACTAGTTCATTTCCACTTCCATGAAAACTAGAAAAATAACTTTCAGGACATTGATGCAGACCACAGGACTTTGAAAAAAGCTGCAAACAAGTAGAAAAGAAGTGCTTATACTTAATGAAATAGTTTTCCTCTACAGTTGATAATATTATGCAATTGAAATTGTGCCCCAATATATAAGTTTGTAATTTTTCCGTTTCTTTTACTTACCTTCTCTTTGATTTTCCTGACTAAACTATACAATAAAGATTGAAAATTAGGATGTATTTGTGGGCCATTCTTGGAATTTTCCGATGTGTTCTTTAGTTATGAGTTGCTGGAGCTATGGTGATATTTGCATGGTATGGACCAATTATACGTGCATTCAGTGGTTGTTTGCTTCAGAAACAATTTTCTTTGTTGCTTCCATTAAACCGTTTAAAAAAAACAAAAGAATAAGCTTTACACGTGTAACTCTCTTCTTTACAAAGAAAACAAAATTATGCTCCCTAGTAACACACACAGAAACTCCTACATAGTAATCTCTGCTTGCGTGAGATTCTTTGCTTGTGTCGGTGATGCGTTATCCGTGGACCACCGAGCAACGTTTCCAAATCGGATACGAATGAGGCTTACGCCTCGTTTGGTACGTGGGAATGAAGTCAAGTGAGAATGGAATGGAAGAAGGAATGGAATGGAATGTATGTGAGAATGGAATGGTCATTCCCATTCTCTTGTTTGGGTACGTTTGTAGAATGAAGTTAGAATAAAAATCTAATTTCCAATCCCATGTTTGGTATCATTAGTTCACAAGTGAGAATTGAATGAAAATCTAATGCCCTTATAACAACATAGATTTTTAATAAGATAAAAATAAACATTAATGATAATAACTAAAAAAAATTATTTATGCATATGTTATATTAATCTAGGTATGTGTTATACTAATGCGCATGTTATCGATCAGGTGTATGTTTCGTTTATATTTTTTAAACAATTCTCACTATTTCTGCATATGTTATATTAATCTAGGTATGTGTTATAATAATGCCCTTATACCTCTATATATAGTCTAGATATGATATGGTTTTGATAATTTTAATATTTTGGCCAATTTCTCAGCGAGAGTTTCCTCTTTTCATAAATATTGGGTCAAATATTTTTCAATCAAAAGTTAGATTTATTGTTGTGCATGAACCACAATTAAACATGTATGCAATGGGTACATATAGTTCTCTATGGTAGGAAAACAATAGCAAAAGTTTAAAAATAATATAATATACTGGTGAAAATAACAGACTATAAACATTGGTGAATAAACAAAAAATTTGATTGACCAAAAAAAAATATTAACATGAAAGAATTTCAATAGGCAAATAATATATATTTTCAGTTGTATCTGTTTTTATATTAAATTGTGTTGCTCGTATGTTCAGCAATTGTGATATAATAGGCTAATGAAATATGTACCGTTAGTTTTAATATGCTACTAAAATATGTACCACTAGTTTTAATCCCTACCCCGTAAAAAATTCTTATTGTTCGAATATAATTAGTAGCTGAGAGAAAATGAGAATACATAGTCAAAAGCCATGATTTTTAAATTGATTCTTATTATTAATAGGGGTATAATTGGAAAAAACCTAACTAATTTGATTCTCTCCTTGAATGGGAATGATCATTCCCTATCTTCTCACTTGGAATGCTCATTCCCACAAAAAGTAGGAATGGTCATTCCATGGGAATGATCATTCCAACATCTAAAAATAAGTTTTGTGTGGTATGATGGAAAGAGAAGTGAGAATGACATTCCATTTCACTCCATTCCCGCGTACCAAACAGGGCCTTAAAGTTAATGTTTCGACGGGGAAACAATAACAGAAGTAAGTGTCTTAGCGAGGTAAGAAAAATACTCTTCTCAAGATCAAATCTAAGTTTGAACTCAAGGAAACACCAAAGGACTCCTGAGAATGCTTGAAAGTGAATGAAGAACTCTCTCTTGCTCTCAAAGTTCGCCAAATGTCAGCCTCTCTGCTTGATCACGCCTTGGTACCTTGCACAAGTGTGAAGGTGAGTATTTATAGGGGTAAGAGACTATAGCCGCCGAAAAAATGCAAATAGCCTCTTGGCCATTGTCTCATGTGGGCGAGACAGTGTCCACTGTCTTGGCCAAAGGAGACAATGGCAGGGGTTCTATAACTGCTCCCCCATTACCTTAAAGTGCATTAAATGCCGCACTTTTCGTGGGTAGTTGGCGTATTTCTAGGATGTAACTGCCCCTTAACGTTAAGGAGTGTTCCCAAGCAGTTCTGGAGCCATGTGGACCCCACAAAGTCTCACAAAACCGCTAGAATACTTGGGAGGCTGTCTCATAGTTGGCGAGACAACCGTCACTGTCTCGCATAGCTGAGACAGTCTGGGAGACAATCTACACTATCTCGGCTATGCGAGACAGGGAAGACTGTCTCACCAACAGTGAGACAGCTCCAAGTCTTTTTGAGTTGTCTCTTTGTGTCTCTTTTGCTTCGTTTTGCGTTGGATGATCTTATCTGACTTAGATGATAACGTTTTTCGTCTTCTCTCTGTCTTGAGTTGAGTTTGGGACCTATAGGAAATTTTTTATTCCTATAGGGGTGTATCCAGAATCTTTGGTCATTTGGTGCAAAACTATAAGTCTTACAGGTATAACTACTATATGATATTTTTATCTAAATATTAATAATAAATAAGCACATATGACAAAATATAGTAAATAGAAGTATCTTAGAGAGATTATTTACAAGTGTACCTTCTGAGTTTGCATATTATGATAATGTTGTATAATATTCTCATTGTTTATGCAACTAACAAGTAGAGCCTTCTTAACTAACAAGTAGAGCCTTCTTACGCTTTAACAGAGCCAAGCTGAGGGTATTTCAGAATTGGGGTACTTCGCCATTTAACAGAGACTAGCCACATCTGGAGGGGATTTCAGAATTAGGAAACAACGGGTTTTGAGATTTTGAGTAAAGGGTTTTGGGAAAACGAGACGAGTTTGATGATCCCGTTTGGATGTTTAAAAGGGTCACACAATAACCAAGAGGGTCACACAATAACCAAGTGTAACTAAGAACTAAAATGAAGTATCAATGTACAGCTACGTTACGAATACGTAAGAACTGAACTATGGAAAGAACTACAATGTACATCTACATAACAAATGAAATCAAGAAAAGAAACATGATGTAAAATGATCTTTTAGAAAATTTTAACCAATTAAGCAACCAAATACATTAAATGGGTGTAATAGTTACACACTTGATGTCAATGTTTCAAAAAGTTAGGGGCCAATTTGTTAAATGAGCCTATTACTCAGTACGTTTCTTCGGGGTCAGTGGGGACAATGGCCCCCACTGCCCCCGGCGTAAATCCACCAGTTCAAGTTAGGTCTAATTAGTTTCAGTTTGAGTTTTTCACCCCTTGGTCATTTCTAATTGTCATGGATTTTATTGAAATTTCTGCATTACTATGGAAATGTTAGGGATATGGATTTATGGTTGATTACTGTTATTACGTAAATCTTATTGTATGTTTATTCATTACATTGTCTAGGTTGTATTTTGGGTTTAAATTCATATATTTAGTTGGCATTTACGTTTTGATAAACCAACCCGGAATCGAACCCAAAACCGTAGGGAGCCATATTCAAACCTCCCAACCTTCCAAGTCACCCACGGTGGGTAATGTTATCATCCTTAATTAGCCGAGTATCTACCATTACGTCAACATATAACAACCCATGCACTTTTCCTTAGAATGTGCTTATTGATTGGTAATCCAATTTTTGACGATCTGCGGTAGCACATTCGTCATTTTAAGCATGGACTGTGTTTAATCAGTAACCCATTCACTAATCAGCTGGGCTATATCTGGTTGGGTTTTGTACCCATACCTGAATTCAATGGCCTAGGATTCTATTTTGAGGTCCAACAACCAAAGCCCATTCGAGGAAAAAAAAAAGAGAGAAGAAAGAATTGTAAGTATTGGTGGTTTCTCCTCTTGGGAGTGGGGTTGCACAGACCCTAGACCAGTAGAGCTCCATCGAAGAACAGCAGCAGAAGGTGGACCCAGCGAATCCGTTCTCCATCACTGCCACTAAAGGTGAAATTCATTTGTAACTCGTTCTTCTTCTTTTTTTTTTGTTTCTCTTTTGTGGGATTCCTGGTTGTTTAGAGGCAATTATCCTTTACTAGTGCATAAATTGGGTATTTATGTAGATTTTGCTTTTAAAAATATTTGAATAAACTTTGATTTTTATAAACTAGGACTTTAAAATGTTTTTTTACGTGTATAGTTTTTTTTGGCTGTGCAATTGGATGAGTGTTAGATTGTGAACTTAACGATACTTAACTGTGAATTTTTGTTGGCATGGGAATACTTTTTAACTTGGTTGCTGCAAAAGAATTCTCATTCAAGTGAGAACTGGATATGCTAGAGGCTGGCATTATTAGCATAGGAAAAAAAGGTACATGTATTGAAATTTATTTTTTTAAAGTGTTTTACCTGGATTAGATGGTTAAAGGCTACCTTTAACTGCTTGGATAATTTCTTTTATATAATCTTTTTTGAGACTATGTCAAATTTCAGTTAAAGGTTTTTCCATTACACTAAACTATTAATCATACAGGGAGTCCTAGACAATCACATGAAATTTCATTAACAACTTTGATTTTGAGGAACTTCACTTAGACAATGATCAAATTTTATGTAGGATCATTTTTGATGTGGCAATAAACTTTCATTTGAAAGGTAACCGAGCAATCTAGCGGTTTGATGTTACTAGAATATCATAGTAAAGAAAAGTTTATGATAACGTAAAGATGAAGTTGGTAGGAGAGCATATCATCGCCTTCTTTTTTCTTTTCTTTTTTGGGTTTTTAATTTGGATTAATTGCCCATATACCCCTTGTATTATTGAACTTATTACCCCTGTGGTTGGGATGATTTCCTATAGTAGTTCACAAGACCAAAGCAAAAACTTCATGAGTTCTGATATTTTATTTTTCTTACCGACACTGCCAGTTGAATGTGTGTGCATGTGTGTCTTACAGCAGTTTAACAAATGGGGCCTTACTGCTCTCATGTTTCTAACATTTTCTGTCTAAAGCTGGAAGCTGTTAACTTCTACTGGGAGACATATTTCTAAGTTGTAGGAAATTAGATCTGCTCCTCAAATTGCAGGAATCTTTACATAATTCTTCTTCTCAAATTATCAATGTTACCTTCTTTTAGATGAAATCTTCTCCTAATGTCAATAAATCATGATTTATTTAGAAGTATTGTTTCAGAAAAGGCACTTATTCTTTGAAAAGTGACTGCAGAATATCCTGAGCTCTTTCTTGACATAAACTTTTGAAAAATTGACTTCACGTAGCTGCTTGGTCTGGACAAGCCGAAGAAGTTAGTGGTCTCTGCAAGCACGAGGCTGATGCAGTGCTGCTGTGATGAATGACGCCGCTGGTGCTATCCATGTTGTATCTCAAAAGTCAGAAGGGCCGGGTCACCTTTTAAGTAGTTCGAACCATTTTAGCTGTTGGTGTCTCTGGTGTCTGCACAAAGCTACTGACAGAAAAGGCCTTCACTCCTCTTCACTATGCTGTTCAAGGATCTCATTTTGAACTTGTCAAATACTTAGTAAGAAAAGGCTCAAACCTCTATAGACAGCTTGTGAACAGTGAAGAAGTTGGGTCATTTTTCGTAGAGCATGAGCAGTCATTAAAGAAAGGGGCTGACCCTAAGGAGCAGCAGTCTCCCATTGAACATGCTGAGATGGGTTCTGATGCTAAAGAGGAAGAGGGTGATGTGAGGGAGGAGGAAAGAAGAAAAGACTGCTGAAGGAAGTTTGGGAGGATCAAGAAGGCCAGAGTTTCTCTTCAACATCTAGTTTCTGAAGACGATGCTGAAAATGGAGAGGAGCAACAGACCCTTGTATAAGAAAGGGATCGTCCCACAAATTTTATTCCCTATGCTTAGCGACAAAATGGTGTGACGGAGAGGAGCAATAGAATGTTGCTTGACATGGTGAGGTCCATGATAAACAGCACTTAATTAATATCCTTTTGGGAGATGACTATTGTCTATGTATTAAATCGTGTGATTTCCAAGATTGATTCCACATTCTATGGAATTTTAGATCAATGAGAAACCTGATTTGGGCAATTTGCGCCCATGGGGGTCGGCGGGCTATGTGTACATCATGTTCCTACCACATGGATAGTGACCCCAATGGAGAAGAAGTGCATAGTTATTCGCTATTTGAAACATTCGTAGGATTATGTGCAAGTTGTGAGAGCTCGTGATATCAATTCATGAAATGCAGAGTTCCTCGAGGGAAACTTTCCTTATAAGAGGGAGATCAAACTTTCCTTATAAGAGGTGAGAAGGAAAATTGAATAAAATCAAGAAACAAATAAAAAAAATTCAAGAATGAAGAACAAAATTCTAGAATAAAAGAAAATGCAAGAAATTAAAGATGGTGGATTCAATTATAGATATGGGTAATCTAAAATTGAACCCACTTCTTAGAAAATGGTGATTCCCTAGAGGGTTCTAGTCTAAAGGCAAATCAAACAAAATAAAAATAAACAAAAAGAAAAACTAAACCCAAGAGGGTTCTAGCCTCAAGGTGAATAGTGCAAGAAATTAAAATCTAACTACAAGATAAATTACAAAATCTAAACTATAAAATAAATTGCAAAAAGAAAATAAATCTACTCTATAAGCATGAAAATAAATCTAATTTATGAGCATGAAATAAATCTAAGGCAAGAGGGTTCTAGCCTATTGGCTATTTAACAAGAAAATAAAATCTAACTACAAGCATAGAAATAAATCTAACTAATAAGCAATAAAAGAGAAAAAGAAAGAAATGCAAACCTTCAAATAATTCTCCATCTTCATCTTCATCTTCATCATCCAACAAAGAGAAGAAGAGAAAAATTTAAAGTGGTGAAAAAATTATTATTATTAATTGCAACAAAAGTTACAATTTTGGAAGGCCTTCTCAATTAAGAGTAGCCCTCCTCTCCAAAAGGAGTTACAAAAATTTTCACACCTCTAACCCCTCACTTTCTACCCCTATTTATAGTAAACATCAGTGAATGAGAGCCATTGGATCAAACTTGAGCCCCAAGACAAGCAAAATCAGCCATTGACGCGCGCTACAGTAATCTGGTATCGATGCAGGCATCGATGCAGGTATCGATGCCAGCATCGATGCCCACATCGATGCCGACATCGATGCCCATTATTTTCAAATTCTGATTTCACGGATAGCTTCGTCTCGTCGAGATAGGCGATTTTCATATATTATATGTTAAATTCCGCCTTCCGGATTAGGAGATATCGTCGTTTCTTTGTGGCCAACCATTTTGAATATGATTTCTTTTCATATTGGATTTTTGATTTTCTCCGGCTTCTACAGGCTACACGACTTCATTCTGGGCTTTTGGATAATTTGGAAATTGATTTTCCAATGTGCTTCTTTGCTTCATTTCTTCATTTAATCAATGGGTTTTTGTTGAGAGATGAGAGTTTGAGATTTATTCTTCATTAACCTGCAATTAAAAGATAAAAATAATTATTAGTGGTATATTTATTCATATAAAATAGATAATGAGGGTATAAAATTGTAATAAAATGTGATTATCAAATACCCCCACACCTAAACTTTTGCTAGTCCTCTAGCAAAGAAAATAAAAAGAAAATCCTAACTCACTTTCGCAGGAATCGCGGTTGTATTTAGCGCATACAACAAGCCTTTAAACCCCTAGGTTACCCTAGTGGACGAGTTGTAGTCTCGTGAGGGTTTGCAGTGAATATACCCACAAAATTCGGTCAACTTGCCAAATTAAAGAAGTCAGTAAATAACTAAATTCACTTGATAACTTTTAGATAATCTAATTGGAGCCAGTTATCACTCAAGAAAACATTTTTATATATAACTCTAAGATATATTTTTAAGAAAATCTTCTCATTGTAGCAATACAAAACCAAGTCAAACTTAGAAATTTAATTTAAAAGTTTTGAAAAGAACATGCTAACTCTTTGTTTTAAATAATTTTCAAGTTGCTTGATTTAAAATATTTTCCAAGACCATATATACAACTTTTTTTTTTAACTCTTTCTTTCTTGGTGATTTTTTTTTTCTACTTTAACGGGCTTTCTAAGTGACCATTTAACGAGTTTTAGGCCAATGGATCCCAACCCAAATGGGCTTAGGTCATTAAGTATGGAAATACTCATTGAGCTTAATTACTCGGTCAGCTTAGGCTTTATAAGATAGAATCACCTTGAATTAAAGAGTTTTTTTTTTCTTTTTGGTGCCCATTTTTCACACTCTTCTTTTACAATTTTTTTTTGTATATGTATATATATTTTGAAAATATGTAAATCAAGACACTTTGAAAAAATTATTTTCAATTTTTAACTCTAAGTTAAGCATGCAAAAATTTTATTATTTTAAATAAAAGTCCAAGTTAAGGCTTAAGTAAGGTATACTACTTTGAAAATCATTTCTTAAGAAATTTATTTAGAGTTATCATAAAAGGAGAACTTAAGTAAATAACTAACAATGGATTAGAAAATTTCAAATTTATCAACTAAATCAATTATTACATAACTCCATCAATTTGGCAGGTGACGGTATTTTTATAATTTTTTTTAAGAAAAAGGGGGAAAAAATAAACAAAAACAAAAATGTAACTAAAAATGTAAAATAAAGAGAAAAAAAACTAATTCCCACCCCCACACCTAAATTTTGCATTGTCCTCAATGCAAACTCTATGATGCATAAAGTAAAGCAGATAAGAAGTGAAGCACTTATATTTGGTCGGCTAATAAAAATCTGCAATTACCTTTGGTCTGAGGAGGATAAAAACAAAATTTTATTCTTTATTCTTTTTTTTCTTTTTTTTCTCTTTTTTTTTCTTCTTCTTTTTTTTTCCTTTTTCCCTTTTTTTTTTTGAAAACTGAACAAGAAACTCTTAAATGAGAGAAGAATAAATTCTTTTTATTATTCTGAAGTAAACAAAATAATCAATGTAGAATGAAATATTCAACATGAAGAGTTCATGCTCTACATTGAATCCTACCTTATTGCTGAAAATTCTCCCACGGATTTTAAATAAATTCAACATGATATAATCAACAATGTGCTGAAATTCTAAGCATTCCGGGGTGTTCAATGATTTTTGTGGCAATGGAAGGTAGGTATTATTGGTGTCATGCATATTGTACTCAGATTCTTGATTTGTGAATGTTTGTTCTCTAACAACCAATTTTTCTTTAACAATTTTCTCAACCCCAAGATTCATAATTGATGTGTAAAAATTTGGTTGTTGTTTATTTTCCAAAAATCTTAGTTCATCAAGAAAGAGTTTTTCAAAATTCAGTTCAAAGCAATAATTGTTTAACACAGTTTTTTTATTTTGACAAACCCGATCTGCTTCTCCTAATATTTTCAGCTCCTCACCAAAAATTTCTTCAAAACTTAGATCTGACTCTTCTTCTTCTTCCCTCGGTCTTTCCTGAATTGAATTATCAGGGGAAGAATGAATTGGAACAAGAATTTGGCTTAAATGTGTTCTTTCCTGATTATTGACCTGTTTTCCTGACTGTAGTGCATTCATTTGAGTGTCCTTAGGATTGACCACGGGTTGACTCAGAATTTCTCCTTCCTCTACTTCACTTATGGCACTAGCTAGTTGATCAATATGAGTTTCTAATCTAGCTAGGGCTTGAGTGTTAGAGTTAAGTATGAGTTCGGTTGATTGCATAAAGGAGTTCATCGTGTAGGATGTTTGAGTTAACATATCCGTGGCTAGTATGGAGGCCTTAATAATGATTTCAAAACCTTTTTCCAAAAAATTGAGACGTTCATCATGATCTGTATCAAGAGGAGTGTGAGTTACAACTTGATGATGAGGAGACTGATTTTGATGTGACAGATTGGGTTGTTGAAATTGTGGATGAGAATTGAAAGGAACTGTGTTTTTCCTAGGAAAATGTTGGGTCAAAGAGGGAGTGAAGTTTTGAGTTTCGGAGTGGTTTCCCTGATTCCATGCAATGTTTGTGTAACTTGCTCAACCTGGGTTGTAGGTTAGAAAAAATGGATTATTTACCGAATACTGATATGGACTCTCTTCAAACTCCCGAACTTCATTGGAAATTTCAATCCTATTGGGATAACATAAATTTTGAAAAACTTGTGGATTAGCCATTTGTTCAAAATAAATTTGTTGATGTGTATTGTCCTTAATCCACGTTTTGCATGCACCAAAAACAATTTCTTTTATATAAATTTTTTTTTGAAAAAATAAAAGTTAGTTTTTTTTTGAAGAAAAAGGAAAATCCTAACTAAAACAAATCAAAATCAATCACTTTTCAATCACTCTAACTCTAGGGTTAAGCCTAACTCAACTAGACTAGCTCCTAACCAAAAATTCCTAAAGTGAAAAGATAAAAGTTTTACTCGGGTAGTTAGCCAGGTAAGGATAGTACTAGAGAGTGATCAGAGATCAATTAAGTACCTCGTTCCTTGCAGAGCGCTTTACGCAACCCCTAAACCTTACCTTAGACACCAACTAATCCAAGAAAACTTAAACCGGTTCACTTAAGGATTCTTTGTTCCTTATTGAGCTCGAATCCTTAGGGCCAACGTCTAATGAGTTTTATTAGGCTTGGGCGGTGTATCGTGTAGCCTGTAGAAGCCGGAGAAAATCAAAAATCCAATATGAAAAGAAATCATATTCAAAATGGTTGGCCACAAAGAAACGACGATATCTCCTAATCCGGAAGGCGGAATTTAACATATAATATATGAAAATCGCCTATCTCGACGAGACGAAGCTATCCGTGAAATCAGAATTTGAAAATAGTGGGCATCGATGTCGGCATCGATGTGGGCATCGATGCTGGCATCGATACCGGCATCGATGCCTGCATCGATGCTGGCATCGATGCCCTAATAAAAATTCTGACTTCACGGTTGGCTTCGTCTCGTCGAGATAGGCGATTTTCATATATTATATGTTAAATTCCGCCTTCCGGATTAGGAGATATCGTCGTTTCTTTGTGGCCAACCATTTTGAATATGATTTCTTTTCATATTGGATTTTTGATTTTCTCCGGCTTCTACATGCTACACGACTTCATTCTGGGCTTTTGGATAATTTGGAAATTGA